GGAGGCAGATTCGAGTGGGTGTCCTGGATAAGCCATTACTCATCACAGATTCAGTTTGGGCCAGCAGTAGAAGGTCGAGCCACAGCCTCCAGGAACAAYTCCCACTCTGTGGCATCTCTCAGCCTGCACCTCCTGCATGCTGGGGACTGTGCCCACTACTTCTGTGCTGTACACACAGAGAGGCGAAATCCAGCTGAGCTTGAACACAAACCACCCCTCAGGATCCCAGCTCTCTGCCTCAGAGCTTGAAGGGGCCTCTGTCACCTGGATGTTCAGGGCTGTTCCCAAAGTTGTGTAGACACAGCAGAGTTTTCAAATGTTCGATTCTAACAGGGACATCCTGTTTTTGGTGTCCCCAAATGAGCTCAAACCTTTATGCTTGTTTTCTTCCCATGTGTCAAACTGCTTCACCTTTGAAGCAATTTTCCCGTTTCCCTTGGTTTCCAGTATTACAGGTACCCAGTCCATGGTGGGGTGTGTCAATAGCCCTGCTATGGTTATGGCCACTTAGTCCAGTTCATGTGGTTTTGCAGCCTGAGGGGTGAGCAGAGGAAATGGGGAATTCTAAAGGGTCATTTGGGAGCTCAGTGGGAGAATGAGGAAGGCTGTGTTGTGTCTCTCCCAAATCTGAGATTCTAATGGGTGCACGGGTTTTTGAGCAGGGTGGGTTGCAGCTGCTGGATCCTGGACATCACAAGCAGAAACACAGAGACATGGTGCAGTAAATTAGTTGATTCCTTAAGCTGTTGCTGTTTTTTATCGTTGTCTCCTGGGGCTGCAGGTGGCCTTGCTCAGGTGAAGACAGAAGCCTCAGGCCCCACAGTAGGGAAGATCTCGGAGTCTGTCTCGCTCGTCTGTCACATCTCTGGTGTAGCCATCACTGATAGCAGCTACGCATGGGACTGGATCTGGCAGACTCCTGGCAAAGAGTTGCAGCACATAGCGATGCAGTATCCCTTCACAGGACTCCAGCACATCGCTTTGTCCTTCCAGACCCGAGTCACCAGCTCTGCAGACCCCTCCAGGAACCAGGTGGGGCTGGAACTGCTCTCGCCAGCAGCTGCAGACACAGCCACCTATTTYTGCAGCATGAGAGAACTTGAAAAGGGCACAGTGCTTGAAATGCAGGCAGGGCCAGGGCAGAACTGGAAGGAGGGGCTTTAATCCAGCTAGGTCTTTTGTGGTCGCTGCAAGTGGAGGCTCTTCCCAGACTTCTCAAGCCTAGTCTGGGCTGTCTTTTGCAGAAACAGACACACAGGTGCTATGGCAAAAACAACAGCAGTCTCCCAAAAGCACACACCAAACCACRAACAGGTTAACTCCTTCTTTCCTTCTCAGTATCTCCCACATGCAGAAACAACTAGGAAAAAAGGGTAGGTTGTTTTTTTGTTTGGTTTTTTTTTTTTTTTTTTTTTAGAATGAGATGGTTTTGGTTTGATTAAAGTCAATTTTCTTCATAGTAGTGAGAATAGGCCTATGTTTTGAATCTGTGCTGGAAAGAGTGTTGGTGATTCAGGGATGTTTGAGTTCTTGCTGAGCAGAGCTTACATGGAGTCAAAGCCTCTTCTGCTCCTCATTCCACCCACCAGTGAGTAACTCTAGTGTCCATGACCAGTTGTATTTTTTGTGTAGAGCATCATCTGAAACAGTGTTAGATGTTCAGAGGTAGAGCAGGGTAGACAAAGAGAAAAACAAAAGGCAGCACTTCAAAGAGATGAAAGAGGACACATCACCTGGCACTGAGAACAATCCCCGGATGTTTTTGTAGAACGGTCTAGCACAGTGGGGACTACGTACCACAGYGATTGAAAACAACAGAACCACCACACATAAACTGTCTCCCTCCCTTCTCTTGAAGGGGGAAACATGATGCCCTGCCTCATCTGCTTTTCTTCAGACAACTGTATGCCTATACACAAATTAGACTCCCAGGATTACAAAAACCTTCCTATTCTTCCAAGACCAATTTTTTCAGCATTCARCCTGAGATCTTGGCTTTTGCAAACAGGTCATTTTAGACATTTGATTGCCAGATCCAGTTGAACAAGTGGGGCAGGAACCTCCCTTTATTTAGATGTTTCCATTTGTCACAAAATGTGGAAAATGTAAACTTTTCTTAAGAAATTATGTTGTTTGGTGTTTGATCTTTCTATACTTTCAACTCAACAAGTGTCTTGAAATCGGCTCTAAGTGGGTAAAAGGTAATTCTGGCAGGGACAGATTATGGCCACCAACACACAGACCACTGACCCAAGAAACCCCTGACCCCAAAAAAGAGGAAGACTAAACATGTGGACTAATCAGCATGTGAAATGAGAGAATTATTAATCAATAGAAGATAGAACACCAGTTAATGTGAGAATTATGTAACTTGTAGGCAATGAACACTAATTCCTTTGTTAGAAAAGGCAAGGATGACACTTGAAGCTGCACAGTCTCAGAGGYTGAGTCTGTCTGRGTCTCTGGCCATCAGGGTCCAGWTAGAGTTAATGATGCAGAAGATGAATATCATGAAGGATTTGGTCAATCTGCAACACTTCCTTTACTCTTTGATCGTCAATCCCAAGGTTTCACTGCCTCTACATAACAAAGAACAATCATTTTGCCTACTTTCTCACCTAAAACAGCATAAAGACTTTCTAAGTACTAGATGACCCCCAGACACCAATTCGGAGAGCCCAGAAGGCACATTCCTCCTGCTTCTGAGCACTGAAACAAAGGGGGRAAARTTGACAGCTKCCWGCAAGTCAGAAGAATTTTCAGAATTGCTTTGAAATAACATGAAGAGAACTGATTATTTTCCTTCTTTCTATACATCTTAACTCCTTCAGATTATTAAGAGGTGCCAT